TATAAGAAATACCGTACTTTATCAGGGGGTTAAATTATATATTCGTTTCAGATTTAATAAAATCGCTAAGCCATCTTAATGATCTGCATTATTTATTATCATGATTACGATTGTATCAGTATAAGGACTTTTCCGTTATTTCGTTTAACTTAAGAGCATTACGTAACAGCTGTAAGAGTATTCCATTGTTGCATTTACTTTAGCAATAAGAATTTTGGATATTTATCCTTTTATCCTTTAGACTTCCATACCCTCTAAGCCCTTTCAGTCCACATTTTGATAAGGGGATTAGTGTTGCAGTCAAACAACAAATCCAGAAGATTAAAGACCAAAAGGATATAATGAACGATATGTTTTACCTTAAAAATCGAAATGGAATCATGTATTGTTTTCCCTCATTAGCGTGATCATTATGTAGTCGTTTCGGTGGCATGGCAAGTAGGTGTTAAATCACAACCCATTAGGAGCTCGCTAATGACGGAGAGGTCATAGCTCGCCGCTCAGGGAAGATTCAAATTATTATATTGTGTTGTTATAAGAGCTACGGAAATAATAGAAATAACAAGTTTGGGTTTACTGATAAATGTCCAAAGATCCCATGACTACTGTTCTTAATATGCACATGTGAAAACAGATTCTGCATAAATGCCTAAACATATTGTCTGAATCTCTGTCTCTCTCTCCGTCTCTTTCCATTCAATTCTCCCTCCCTTCCATCTCTCATTCTTCATAGGAGAAATAACAATAAAAAACCGCACTTATACTTTCTTCAAAGGATCAAAAGACGCAGTAATATCCCGAGCAGTTAACACCATGGTGATAATCACCGTTACCTCATTCAGGTCGGTGCGAATGAAAGGTCATTCAAATTCTACTAATGACCCAGCCAGCGTTTGGGGTCAGAACACTTATCATATATACTGTACGTGTGTCTATGAGTCTAACTGTAATAACACTAAAATCAGTTATAAAATAAAGATAATCTTAATATAAATATAATTAAAAGAAGTGTAATACTCGACCCCAAATAACACCTTTATACATATCTAAAATAGCGGTCCCTGAAAGTATCCCAGAGCCCACAAATGTCATGCTGTTAGCTATAAATGCATGCACTGAATTTAATCCAGTTGCATAAGTTAAATCAAGGATATAAGTAATAGCTAGAAAAATAATTAATCAAAAAAACGTAAAATGCTTGAGTAAATCATTAAAGGTGTTTGTAAGAAAACTGTTGCCAACTCATCAAAGAAAATGAAAAATATGGAAATTGATAATCTTATGATATAATTACTCTCAAATAAATTGCGTAATTGAAACCGTTTAATTTGAACCCCATCTGTATTCAAATGAATTAAAGATAATTGACAATTAATATAAAACAATGAAAAACAATAAGAATAAAGTTGACTATAACCATTTTTACCAATATTCCCTAATTTTATGCGCGCCATCCTCTCTTTCCACGGCTGACTGCAGGAAAGTCATCCGTTAAACAAAATCCTCATAAAAATGGAGTACTTCTTTGCATCCTAAGTAAATCCTAGGGCTGTGCATGAATAGGGTCACGCATAGTTGAGTACACTACGCATAGCGACCTTCCAATTACAAGATTAAAAAGGTCAAGGAAGTAATTGGATTATCAGCCCACGAAATTGGACGAGAACCGATCGACTTCAGGGAGAATTTTCACGGTCGATTTGAGGTCGACTTTTAGGCCATCTCCCTCCCCCCTGCCTGCCCCCTCCCTACCTTCTACTGGACCTCCCCTTCTCCCTCTGGGTTTCGGGAGATGGTGGGGGTCGAGCTGTTGCAATTGTGTATTCTGTTTCTGTTGATGTATGTGTGTGTGTGTGAGAGAGAAGACGAGAGAAGAGAGAGAGAGAGAGAGAGAGAGAGAGAGAGAGAGAGAGAGAGAGAGAGAGAGAGAGAGAGAGAGAGAGAGAGAGAGAGAGAGAGAGAGAGAGAGAGAGAGCGTGTGTGTGTGTGTGTGTGTGTGTGTGTGTGTGTGTGTGTGTGTGTGTGTGTGTGTGTGTGTGTGTGTGTGTGTGTGTGCGTATATTTAGACCATGAATACCTGAAATCATCTTTTGAAAATATATCGCTAATCATAAATTCCAGTCAATACTACCTCGTTCTCCATCAATAAAAATGTCAGCTTAACCATCACAAAGCGGTAGAAAAGCATCAGGAACCTCCACTCAAGCGTACGATTAAAGAAACTCAAAATGTAAAAGAAGGGGCTATCTATTTCAAGCATTAATCGCATTACATTTGGCTTTACTTAAGCTCAAAATTGGAGTAAAAAAAAGAGTCACGTGTTGTGTTTAAACGACCGATGCAAAACTTAATGTCGGAAGGGTGACAGAAGCAGTTGACTTACGGTGTCGTCTTCAGAATTCGTCATATTTAGAAACGAAGGATACAGGTCCTAAAACGTGGAAAAAAAATGGCTGTTTTATGTGTATGTTGTGTTACTTTTACGTTGGTGTGTGGTTATGTGATAAAGTGCACTGAATTGAGATGGAATTTATGTGTTTTCGATATAAATAGGGTTATATCTATATGTGTGGGCTCAAATATTACAAAGAAAGAGGAAACGCAGTCTCACCCCTTTGCTCCGCCTCGCCAACGGCTAGCGAAACAACCATTGTATTAGAAATTGCATTTAGTGGCTTAAAACGGTCGGTTGGACGATAATGGGATTATCTACCCAAGAAATTGCTCAGTCGAACGGGTCGCAAAGAGTAGGTGTCTTGCCGTCGAGGAAAAAAAAAAGCTTTCCTAGTCTTACAAGGGTCGAAAGGATTTTCTTAATATTAACAAAAATAACAAAAGCAAAACGTTTCTAAGGGAGGAAATAATTAAAAACGTCATACCAGTAATCATCATTCTCGTCACAAACATTCACTGTTTACGAGGTGTCTAGATATTCAGCTCATAATTAGCTTCCAGGCTAGTACAGTGGTAACGTGTCGGCCTCTCATCCGAGGGGTCGGCGGTTCGCGCCCCGCCCAGGCCAATCCGATTTTGCAATTGCCAACACACTAAAGCACTTGATCGAGACATTAACACATGATCAGCTTCGGAGCTCATAATTCCTGTCTCAACGCCATCACACGCGGACTCCACCACGACACTTCTGAAAACCCTTTTGACTGGCCAGGAATCACCACTCGGGCCCCAACAGGTACTGTTGTCGCTCAAACTCCTCCAGCCGCTGAAACTGCAGGTCCTCGAAAGCTGTGACGGTGGAACAGCCACACTATTTGTATTTGAAGGACTGGTGTGTGTATATATAATATCAAAGGACTGTATTTTACAATCATGCTGTAATGACGTATGATATTCTTAATATCATAGTTCATTCACAAATGCTTGTATCCTTTATTCTTAGATGTAAACTTCGATCTCGTAAGAAATCGTGATAGCATACAGATAGAATACAGATCTCTGTCGCTACATTTCCAACCAACAACAACACACAACACACACACACACACACACACACACACACACACACACACACACACACACACACACACACACACACACACACACACACACACACACATATGTATATCGTGTGTATACTTTGTTTCCCAATATGATGATAACTAGATAGCCGTGAGAATCATAATTTCATCCTGGGCAAATATCATGCAATAAGGCGCTGCTAATATTATGCGGGCACTTCAATATGTGGATAATTAACATACTTTGTGATTCTCTATCTATCTACCTATTTATCTGCCTTTCTCTCTTTCTACTCATCTATTTATTTATCCATTAATTTACCTCTTCATGAAACAGCCGACAACTCATAACTAAACAGATTACGCACCTGCGAGTAGGCTAATGAGGCAGTTAACCCCGCCCACAGATTACTATGTCTGCTCACGTGGAATTGATGTAATGACGCTTGCTTTAACAAACATTTACGGGAATTATACACATATATCCTGCGATGTTAGTGAGCAAAACATCTTCAAGTGCTTTCATAAGATATAGAAGCTATAACGTCAAAATCGAGGAAACTAAAATGATAACAGATCGATTCTTCATACAATTGCCTTTTTGTTATTGTATTGCTACTAATAATCAAGATCAGTGGCATTGCCATTACATATCTCAATATTTATAGAATATTATCATAATATAATAATGATTAACAATGTGATTCAGAACACGTCTACAGAAAGTTATTTCTGTTGCAACTGTAAAACCTCCCTACAAAGACTAGAGAATGGTTAAGTATATATAATGATTCATCACATTTAAAATCTATTGGTATTCATCGGTATGAATAGATGACACAGTGTATAAATGGCGAAAGACAGATAAGGAAAGAAAATGGGTTTTCGATAATCTAATCACAGGTCATCATACGGTCTTCCTATTTAATCAATGCACAGTTCTTAATCCAACCATTTTATGATTTATTTTCGTTCTCCAAGTCTTGTGAGATTCCTATAAAGTTGCTAAATTTATGCAAATATCACAATACCGGCGAAGTATTGTAAATGAAAACTGGCTGCTGAGAGGAAGGACCTGGATGCCGAAATACCCAGCACCATAATGGTTACACAGTAAGTTAATTTAACTGATCGATATATGTGGCCTTCTAAGGCCTTTCTTTCGCTTATTGCTAGTTGTCAACTATATATCACCGTCATACCCTTTTATGCGTATTACATATATATTTCTTTAAATCTTAACTTTTCCATCTTTTTCTTTCTCCAGTGATTCATAGAATATGCACTTGGTTTATTGACTATACATTTCTCAGAAAATTATATGTATATATATATATATATATATATATATATATATATATAGTGTGTGTGTGTGTGTGTGTGTGTGTGTGTGTGTGTGTGTGTGTGTGTGTGTGTATCACCCTTTTCTGTCTGCCAATTAGCCGAGGTCTTGGCCGACAAACTGACCTACACTTACTCTGATTGGCGGAAAACCACAGGTGAGGAGGTATAAAAAGGCCGGGCATGACCTGTGTCGACATACCTGTCCCACCACACAGCAAACATGGACCAACTCTCAGTGATGAACTTCCAGCCTTTGGCGTGGGCCTTCAGCCACCCTTTCGCTTCAGCCCTCCTTCACCACGCCCTCACGGATGTCACACAAGGCAAAAGCCTTCACCATCGACGCCCTTCTGGGCATCTGCATCTCCGCTCTCCCTCCTTCAGCGGGAGTCCTCCGACACCGGCCTCAGGGACGCTCCCGGAAAGCTCAAGCGCCATCGCACAGTGTTCACGGACTCGCAGCTTCAGCGGCTGGAGGAGGAGTTCCAGCGGCAGCAGTACCTGGTGGGCCCCGAGCGGCGGTACCTGGCCAGGCAGCTGGATCTGAGTGAGCTGCAGCTCAAAGTGTGGTTCCAGAACCGACGCATCAAGTGGCGCAAGAACCAGCTGAGCGCGACGCAGGATCGCGACGCCTGTGCGTCTCCTCCGACGTCGCAGTAGGAAGATAGCGGAGCCACTTTTTCTGCGATCGAAGACATCCCAGTGACAGTCCTTGCATCTTTAACGAAATTCTAGTCCATTTTAATAAAATAATAAGCATTTTTAAACTGTCTTTATGTCGTCCCTTCAAATATGAATGAGAATTTAATTTCATTAAATACATCAAGGGTATCAATAAATGCTGGGGGACAGCCTCATAAATGCCTAACGAAAATCAATCCATTACTCTGCTTTGGCTCAGTAATGACATTGAAAAACTGGTAGACAGGAATATAAACATATACCGCATATATGATGGGTAAGAAAATAAGGAAAGCCCGCTCAGTAGTCTGAGACATGTAGTATCTGACTTTGTCAAATGACTGCAAGACCTTCACCAGACAAATGCAAGGAATACAAAGTCGATTACCTTAAATATGAAACTCCGTTCGTATCTGCGAATAGTTTATCATACCTCTCGACAAGATGGTAAATGTATATCAGTCTTTCGTTATATTAAAATAACCGCGAAGAGGAATTTGAAAGCACTAATCTGTATATATATCTACCTATCTAATCATGCATGTCAATTAGGGCTTATACATATAAATGCACACATAAACATACGCACATACACACAAACACACACACGGGTGCATGCATATATACATGTGCGTTTGTATACGTATATATTATATATATATATATATATATATATATATTATATATATTATATATATATATACATATACATATACAGTATATACACATACACAAACACACACACACACACACACACACATATATACATATGTGTGTATGTGTACACACACACACACACACACACACACACACATATATATATATATATAATATATATATATATATATATATATATATATATATATATATATATATATATATATATATATATATATATATATATATATATATATATATATACAACTTTTTCGTCCGAAAATCCTTCCTTGTGTGGTAGGCGTGAGTAATAGGCTAATTTTAGTTGTCCTTCAGGAAGTGTGCATTCACCTTCTGGCGCCTCGAGGCAGTCGGTTCGTCTAGACGCCAGTCTAAGATGGCGCCTGATCTGTGTATACGATTTTGCTCGACATTATTCGTGAGCAGATTTTTCCTAATGTTACTGCTTTCTGTATGTATATTTATCATCTATTTATCAATCTGTAGATCCTCTCAAAGTAAAATAAAGCACTTCCGGAAGTCTATAATCATAGAATAATGCACCTTCTGTACCTTTTAAATAGCGAGTGTGCCAGTGAGTAATGAGGTGACCTGACCTGCCCTGATCTGCCTCGTGACTGGAGCTCCGGTGTCGCGACGTCTGCTCCGCCTCCTCGTGTACAGGGAGAACCTTACTGTCTGCCTTCTAGTTATTGGGGAAAAAATGCGCTATTATCGTCGAGATCGTGATAAGGACAGTAATAATAGCCCCTGTTTATGTGGAATCGCATCCCTTCTTAAAGGTCTTCGAGTCTGTTTCTCAGTCAATAAACGAAACAACAACAAAAAAACAACATTTCCCTTATAGAATTCTACTTCCAAGACAACGTTTGATATATGATGTATCACGTAAATATCCCCTGTGCTGGAGGTATATTGCCACTCATAAGTTACAAGACCAAAATAAAATCAGTAGAGGTAAAAGGACAAAAAAAGAAGGAAGAGAAGAGGAGTTAAAATTAAAAACAAAACAAAAGAAACCAATTATCGGTCACCAAACGCTTCCACACCCGTACAAATCTTTGACGACCAATTTTGTGGCTCGCTAATCCCGTCATCCTATTAATCTGTTAATTGAAGCGTGTCATCCTACTGAACCCCGGCATTGTGAACTCAGGGGGTCCTCAGGGGGGTCCTCAGGGGGTCCTCAGGGGGGTCCTCGGGGGGGTCCTCAGGGGGGTTCTCAAGGGGGTCCTCAGGGGGGTCCTCAAGGGCGTGTGTGGGAAGAGGATCTATACTCGCCAAAGAAATTCGGACAAGAGATAAAGGATTCATTGTCATTATCTCCATACCATCACCGTCATAATGACTACCATTATTGTTCTTATTGTTGCTGATATCATTATCGTTATCAAAATATTACCATTGCCATATTTACCGTTAGTATGGTTATCATTATCACTACCATTATTTTCATCATCAGTATCATTTTGCTTATTATTCCCGTTAATCGGCTGTATAACGGTGACAGTGTTTATAATACATATTGATAATAATACATATACTACATATATTTATGATACATATACTAATATATATATATATGAGGAAAAAACGGTTATGGGTGCATTGCTGATATTCATGGATTAAGATAAGGATGCTTTTGATAGTGGTAATGGTGATAAAATATTAACATTAAGTACGGTTTATTTCTTCACTGATTGTTATCAATGTCATCATCCATAGAATTGCCATTACCATTATCACTATTGTTATTATTAGTTATTCTTAATGTAAGTAGTAGTGGTATCGTCAATATTACTGTCATTATTTTCATTATTATGGCAATATATTTCATCACTTTTTATTGCCATATATCAACAATAGTAACACTTGTTATCATCATTACCATTATTGTTATCATTATTATTACCATTATCATTATTACCATTATCATTATTACCATTATTATTATTATCATTATTATTATTACTATTATTATTAACATTATTTCTATTCTTACCATTAGCATTAGCATTTTCATTATTATCACTTCTATTCTTATTATCATTATTGTTTCTATTATCTTTATCATTATTGTTTCTATTATCTTTATCATTATTATTATTATCAACATCACCATCATTTTCATTATCAGTATCATAATTGTTTGCATTGTTTTTATCATTTTCGTTATAACTCATTATCGTCATCAGGGTTGTTACTATTATTATCATTAATGACAATCTAATGATGAAATTATTACAACAGATATCGCGATCAACATCCGGGAGTTAAAAGTTTTACGATAAAAGATGCGAATGTGATGGAAGAGCCCAGACTTCTTGTTGAAATGTTTGTAACTTCTTTAACAACCCTAACCAAAATTTGCAGTGGCTGGTTAGTGCAAAATTACTACTTATATTGCAGTTTTATAAATGATAGTAACACACAATGATACAGGGGTGAGCAATGAGTGCTGATTGATTAATGTCGAAGTCCAGGCCATGACGTCACATTTGCATCAGTTACCGCCATGATGGGAGACTCTCCTCTAACACTATCCCGTATTCCCGCTGACTCATTTACATTCTGCTTATTACCAAGGTTTTGTTTTCGGTCGTTTTGTTTAGTTAGCTTTTTTAAATCAACAGTTTGGTTACTAAGCCTTTTGCATGTAGAATTTGCCCATTTTGTTTTCCTTTAATTTTATTTATTTTTTTTTTTTTTTAATAAAATCTTGGAAGTGTCCGCCTGGCCTTATATCTTATAACCTTGTTTTTCATGTTTCCAAATGACTACTGACGTAGTGTACAGTGAATCAAATCCAGAATGTTTAAAGAAGAAAGTGTATTTGCTAATACATTTTTATTGATAGAGTAATAAATAAGTAATAATTATGCAAAGACTATCACTGGGCCGGTTTCATTCTCAGATGTAACTTCATTTTTCTTGTTCTGTTGCCTCTGGAGACAAACAAGTGCTCTGTTCCTCGCTCGGGTTGAACTGGTTCTTCCGCCACTTGATGCGTCGGTTCTGGAACCACACTTTCAGTTGTAAATCACTCAGCTGAAGTTGGCTCGCCAGCTGCCTCCGCTCGGGGCCCACCAGGTACTGCTGCCGCTGGAACTCCTCCTCCAGCCGCTGAAGCTGCGAGTCCGTGAACACTGTGCGATGGCGCTTGAGCTTTCCGGGGGCGTCCCTGAGGCCGGTGTCGGAGGACTCCCGCTGAAGGAGGGAGAGCGGAGATGCAGGCGGGGAGGCGGTCGGGACAGGAAGGTCCTTTTGAGTGTCAAGTCCCAGAAGGGCGTCGATGGTGAAGGCCTTTGCCTTGTGTGACATCCGTGAGGGCGTGATGCTGCGAGTAGGAGGGCTGGCGGGCGGCGCCCAGTGGAGGCTTTGGTTCCAAGAGTGAATGTTCATTGCTGCCAGGTGATCCATGTTCCCGGTGGTCAAGGACAAGTATGTCGAGAGAGGTCATTCATGGTCTTATATACCCCTTTTACCTGCAGTCTCCACCAATCAGAACGGGTCTAGGCTAATTATTTTGCCTAATAACCCCGCCTATCTATCCCAGAAAAAAATACACTCGAATACTACGATTCGAACATAGAGTATTTACCTGGAAATGTGACGTGCTCAAATTTGCCGAAAACTAATTTTCTTCGACGTGCTATCTCCATAACAAAAATATCGGTTGATTAATGATATTTATTTTATTTTTCCATGAATCATTTAATGTGATTTTATTCACTTCCTTTGAGCAAAGTCTTGACAACTTGAGTGTTACAGATCCAAAACAATATCGACCGATACAAAAATGGAAATATATTTTCTAATATCAAAAACGGTAAAAGAAAAAGAAAAAAATAATTACGAGTAATTGAAGTAGAAGAGAAGGGCAAGAAGTATCTATGAGAATAAAAGAAAACGCAGTGGATTAAAGAGGCCAAAATATATTGTCTCCAGGGACTGTCACACCCTTACACGGTGAATTAAAATGTACCCTTGGGACGCCCAATTCCCATCTCTCTCCGCCCATTCACCTTTGGGTCAATACCCGGCAATTCACAAAGATCAGTTGCTCTATGGTAATTATATTGTTTTCCGGTGATCTTTATTCCCATTTGTGGCAAGAATATTGATTATTTTTGCTTCTATCTAAAATTTGTATAGTGTTTTGAGCAACTGATTTATTTCAGGACAGGTAATACTCATAAAGTGTAATGTTACTGTTTATAATTCTATTCCACGCAAATATGTTCTGCAGGTGATGTCTCCTGAAAAGACTATAGGGTAGTATATACTTTCATATAATGATAACAGTGGTTTTCGTGGTACAAAATAGAGGAAGTTTCCCCCTTCCCTGCTGGCGTATAAAGGTGTCTACCAAAGTCCTCCTAAAAACACTCTACTGTGAAAAAATATGTGACATCCCCCTCCCCTCTGCATGGTTTTGAACGGCCTACTAAATCCCCTTTGACTTCATTTTCTTTGTTAGGATTTTGATTGAGGGGGAGGGGGTAATCATGCCCCTGGAAGATTAGGGTATGATATTATTCTGCTCACAGGAGAAACAAATAATCAAAATAAGGGATGGCGCCTCAACACGACTCAGTGTTGTGCCTCGACGATGTCTGATCTGCCTTAGATAGGAAATGCAATCGTTATTATATCATTCTTTAAAGCATGCATCATTTTCGTTTGATTTTATTGTACTGGGGAGCATTACTACGGGAATGCTGTATGATTGCTAAAACAAGCTTGCAATTTTACTGTTTTTCTGTATATGCATTCTGCAGATGTAAATGTAACTGATAAAAGCACTGTGATTTTCTTCTCATATACTACCACACTGCATCGGAATCCGTCAATCAAAAGCCCTCGAATTCATGTCTATTCCAGCATGACTACACGACGAAATAATGGAAACCAGTTTGTAGATCTAGTGAAAGAGAGGACCTTGGGGAATGTCAGGTGCCCTCCATTCATCACAGTGAATTACCGATCCCGTTTTGCACCAGTGATGGAAAATGTACCGATGAATTGAAATGAGCGGCAGCACCTCTCGTATCTACTATCTACATGAACACCACCAGACACGCAAAGACCACTAAGTACTCGTTAGTTGATCCTCACCCCGGCCCTCTTGTACTTACAGTCATATCGCCATCAATACCATCCTCACTACCATGATGCTGGGAACTGTCTTCATCTCAAATGGTTATAATTAAGTAAAAATGTTTGCCAAGCTCAGAGGAAGGTTGGAGGTGAAGAAAAATGGGCGTGACTGGCCATACCATTAGCTCTGCCACAGGTGAGCAATCACATTAGTCATGATTTGTCGGGAATCCTTTGGTGATGAGTAGGGGAAGGGGGGGGGGGTTGGGGAGGAAGCATGTAGAGGTGTATGTGTTTGAGAATGAGTGAATATAGTATACATGTATCTTGCATCTACCAAGACACACACGTATGTGCATGTGTGTGTGTGTGTGTTATATGTGTGTGTGTGTGTGTTATACATTATATATGTGTGTGTGTGTGTTGTGTAAACATATACAGATACATACATATATGTGTGTATACATACATGCATACATACGACACACACACACACACACACACACACACACACACACACACACACACACACACACACACACACACACATACATAGTTATATATATATATATATATACCTATATATATATAATATATATATATAATATATACACACATTATATATACATATATATATATAATATATATATATATATATATATATATATATATATATATATATATATAAGAGAGAGAGAGAGAGGGAGGAGGGAGGAGGGAGGGAGGGAGGAGGGAGGGAGGAGGGAGGGAGGGGAGGGAGAGAGCAAGGGAAAACATAGAGAGGGGCGAGAAGAAAAGAAAAGAAAAGAAAAAAAAAGAAAAGTGGTCCATTTTCAGTATAGATTTATTGGCAGCAGCATCTCATTAGCAGCATCCCATTCAGCCCAGGTTCACACCTACCTGTTTCTCTTTACTAATGGCAAAATAATTACTCGCACAACAGTGCTAATTCTACATGCGCCAGTTTGCTTTATATTTTGATAATCATAAAAAAATCACCAACCCATTACTTACTGAAAAAAATTCAGTTCTGGAGCACATTTTCCATAGCTAATGTTAAACTGGTATGTCACGGCGGATCCAGCTACAGAGGAAGAAATTTACCCTTTCTCTGTCGCTTCCTATAGCCTAGTATAATCAACAATATCATCTTGAAAATGGATTTACAATCTCAATAATGATAATTCATTTGATTGTTGTTACTGGAAACTATCAAGCTTATAATTGTTTCTCATTAAAATACAAATGATTTCAGTTTTGTGCTAAGAAGTCAGTCGGTTGACCCGTATAAGAGCACGGAGTGATGAGCCGCATCAGTCGAGATATCGCAATGAAAAGGAAACTTGGCGGCGCCTTTGAGGTCCCGATTCTAAGATAGAGTTAATCTTATTGCTGTGACACACCGTAAAGAGGCGACAAAACCTTGGTTGACCTGACTTTGCCCGGAAGAGAGCATCCGTGACCTCCTTCAGGAACGGTTACTGTGAACGTTTTTCCTTTATAATTCAAATATTTCCTTCCTTATGTCTCTTTGGCTTCTCATAATACTATACAGACGAGTTTAGAAATAATAGCTAATAGAAAATATTCGTATTACATAGTAAGAACAGAACATAAATGCGTTCTCTTTTCATATCCAGCGGTCGAGGTTCAAGGTCCAATTACCTCTTTCGACCGTGAAACACCTCCGCTTTGGGCCTCGTTCGACCGACCAATTTTGTGGGCAAATAATCTCATTATTGTTCGGCCGGCCATTTTAAGCTACTAAGTGGAGCGGCTACTAATACAATGCTTGGCTTTCCACGAGCCGTTAACGAGGGTGTCATCGGGGGCGCCTTGGGAATAGAGAGAGAGGACGAAAGGGCGGAAGAAACAAAAAATAATCACGTTCCTCTATTGAAGGCGTGGATGATATATATAGGAAGTCGTCGAGCTTATTGATACGATCGTTCCCCTTTCGAAGATGAAATGAACATCCTATAGTCAAACGTGTTGTTTGTGTCAAGAAAATATGTAAGAACAAGAGGCAAAATGTTAAGCTTCAGTGACACGAATGGAATACAAGATAACGTGAAACTGTACTTTACCGGAGACTAAAGTATTGCTGCTGGAACTTCTGCGGTTGCTTTTGGAGACGCAAAAACCGTAGGATATCGCTTGAGCTCTCCGCGGGCGCCTTGTTGACGGCCGAAGAGAGGAGATGTCGGCGGCGGGGCAGTTAAAGCAGAAAAATCTTTTTAAGTGCCTAGTCTCTCCAGAGCGTCGATACTGAAAGCCTTGGCCTTATGAGACATTCGTGAGGTGGCGAGAAGAAGGCTGACTGAAGGCCCACGTCAAAAGCTGAGAGTTCATTGTGAAAGTTAGTCTGTTTTTCCTTTGGATTGGGACAAATATTTCCACATTAGTTAATAGGCCAATAGGTAGGTAATAGATGTTCAGAATCAGGTATATATATCTGTTTATTGGGAAGTTATTTATCGACCAACAAAGTCTCTTTATAGAAAGCAAGGGAGAAAAAAAAAAATGAAAATTGGACGATTAATATGTAAGATAAAAGCATTAGAACAAGCGCACGTAGAGTTCTGAAACACCGGGATCAGCATAGCTTCCCTGCGCATTTTCTTTACACTGAAACGGGAGGCAGTTAATGGGTAATGGGAAGCTCGACATTCTTTGTCAAGCTAATCTCAAAGTCAGGATTAGAGGCATTGTTCAGGTAGACGGAGAAAGAGTTTTCGGTAAATTGTTTAGCGAGAAAGAAAATGGATACTAGACAGAGATCATGACAGTAGGAATGTTTTACGCTTTGATATTTTGATAGTGTTGGGCCCTTGGGACTTCCACTTGCCAATATTCCCTCACTCTCTGCGGTCGGTCCTAACGATTTTTTTTCTTTTTTTGGAATTTTGTAGTTGAAAAGAAATTAGAAAAGGTAAGGAGAGGTTCAAATGACCACTGAGTAAATCTGGTTATTGTATGAAGGACTGGCCAGTATCTTGCCGTCAAAAGCCATTGTGTTATCTTTGCTTTATGATGAACTATAAGCATACCTGGACACGGCGCTACAGAGGTACGGATATACCCAACCGGAATGATAATTCTATCGCCTGCTTTGGTATTTTTTCTGTATTTAGACGGCCTTTTAGTGAATAGGAGTCTTGTTAGACATCGTTCAGTGGACCAAATGATAAGTTAAGAAACGTTCTACTAGAGTTACGTGAGCCTCACTGACCGTGATTTCCCTTAAGACGAAATCCAGTCCCGACGGTGCTTTGGGGCCTGCTGCGAATGTTGTCTGTTGTTTGCATTTCATGCTTGTGATGGG